TTCTCCCCAGGGTATCCATAAAAAGGAGTGGTGCTATTCCTAAGTGGAGCCTCCCCTCCATGGCAGCCAGGGCCTCTGCCCATGGAAGAAGTCTTCTCGGGGTCACCATCCTGACCCCTTGCCCTGTATTTCTGCATTTGGTCTTTGGTGTCTTGTGCAAGTATATCTGTTTTCTCTGGTAAGATTTGAGAGGAGAGAAACAGGGGGCCTGGGGTTGTGGCTCAGTGTAAATCACTTGCCTAGCATGCTGCAGGCTCTGAGTTCCATTCTTAGCATGGGAAAAGCAAGCAAGCATAAGTGAAAGAGGAACAAGAGCTAATATTTATTGGACACAGCTTCAAGCTGGTCCATTGCTAGGTGTTTTATACTCAACAGCGTGTACTACTTAAAAAAACAAAACACAAATAGGTTGTCCAGGGTTTTGCCTGACTTCCTCCTCCCCCATTCCAACACAAGGCTCGCCTGAGCACAGGGACAACCTCCAGGAATGTCTCTCGGCATCAGTGTATGTGTGTGTGTGGGCGAATGAGTACTGTAGGCTTACACATGGACACATTACTACTATTTAGCAGCCTTAATTATTCAAACAATGCATGATCTCTTTAACTACATTTTAACTTTTACCCTGGAAGTTACTTAACGTTTAATTTTTTTTTTTTTTTACTGTTGGTCGTGGGACTTGAACTCTGGGCCTGGGCGCTGTCCCTCAGCTCTTTAACTCAAGGCTAGTACTCTACCTCTTGAGCCACAGCACCACTTTCAGTTTTCTGGTGGTTTATTGGAAATAAGAGTCTCGTGGACTTTCCTGCCCAGGCTGGCTTCAAACCGTGATCCTCAGATCAGCCTCCTGAATAGCTAGGGTTACAGGTGTGAACCACCAGTGCCTGCCATTAACATCTGGTATCTTCTGATTTCTAAATCAAGTTCTCTGTGTATTTCAGATAATCCAAATTTAAAAGGGCAATAGGTAACAAGAGTTGAAAAGATATCAGAAAATGGTTATTCATATCCTACTTTTCAGGGTTAACTGCCATTATCACTACAGAAAATAATCTGAAATCAACTAAAAATACACCCAGAGTTAGATTATGCAATGTCTTAACCGCCTACAGAAGTGAAAGTACTGAGACCTGAGAGCAGGCGTTTAAGGACAATGTGCAGCCTTCTGTAACCTCTGTGCTCATCAAGAAGGAAAACATGAAATACAGATCGCCCATAAATGAAGTAGTCCACAAGGTCTAGAGTACCACGTAAGTAAATTGGTAGAAGTATGCTCCTGCTTTATTACCAGGCAAACAAGAAAGCAATGGAGTGACACAGTAGGAATTACCCCCACATTGTCACTCCCTTCTAGGTTCCAGCTGTGTGAGAATATTAAAGGAAGATAATATCCACCAATATACTGTGACAGTCAATTTTAGCTGTTAACTTGATGGATTAAGAAACACCTAGAAAACCAACATATGGTAAAGTGTTACTTTGTGTATAGCTGTGTACATTTTTTTAGAGGAGGCTGGAACATGAGCCTGAGTGGATTATAGGAGGAGGAATTCCTTGATGTGGTCTCAGGTTTTTGGACTGTCAGACTTACACCAGCCCTTCCTGACTCCTTTCTCAGGCCTTTGGCTGAGACTGAGAGTTAGATTATCAGCTCTCCAGGTGCTGTGGCTTTCTAAGTGGACTCAGCCACATTACCAGCATCCCAGGGCTTCTTGCTTGCACTTGGTCTCCTCTAGGGCTTGTCAGCTTCCTTGATTGCACAAGCAATTCCATTACCAACTCTCCTCCCAGCTGTGTGTGCTGCTGGGTCTCTGTCTCTGGAGAACTGTGACTTGTCAGTTAAGCTTCTAACCACGTTCCTTCATGGACCAGGATCGCAGAGTTATGGAGAGAACCCTTTCCCTTCTGTATCAAGTCTGTCTGACATTTTGCTGTAGAAATAACAATTTGAAAAAAAACAAGTAACAGTCAAGCACAGACAAGCACCAGAAATTGGGTTTAAGGTCAGTGAGAACAAAGAGGTTTGGAAGACTCCAGCTCTATCACAACTGTTAGGTGTGGTGATATATGTCTGTCACCCAGCTATGCAGGAGATTGACATGGAAGACTCCAGCTCCAGGCCAGCCTAGGCAAAAAAATGTAGTAGTGAGACAACCTGTCAACAGAAAAAACTGGTCATGGTGATACACACCTGCCATCCCAGCTATGGAGGGAAGTGTAAATAGGATTGTAGTTCAAGCTGGCATGTGCAAAAAACAAGATCCTACCTGAAAAATAACCAGCACAAAAAGGGCTGGCAGTGAGGCCAGTGACAGTACTTGTCTTGCAAGTTCAAACCCCAGTACTACAAAAAAAGTACACATTCAAGATGGGGAAAATTTTTCCAGTTAATACTTAAACCCTTTGAAAATGAAAAGCTAGGTGTAGTAAGATGAAGCAAATCTCTGAGGGTCTGATTACATTTGATGGTCTCTACTTTTTTCCGCTGTCCTAGGAGTCAGTGCTGGAAAGCCCTTCCTGCCCCAGCTCTCTCCTTTGTACTTATCACCCATGCCAGCTGCCCTGACTGTGGGTGTGCTCTGGATCAGGAGGCACACAGCTGGAGCACCATGGATGGCAGACACCTGCAGGAGGGGGACCTGGACAGAGGCACCCTCAGCACCGATGCACACATGGAATATGGGGCTCCTAGTATGGACCAGGAGGTGGCCCCTGGCAGACTCTGCAAACCCAGCCTGCTGTACCCATACTGTGTTGTCTGAACAGCAATAGGAGACATACTTTCATAATGTGGAGAGTATACTCCTTTCTGTTATTTTGGGATGGCTCCTTTCTTCCCAGGAAGCCAGACTCATGAAAACCCCCTTATATGTCTCTCCCAGATCTGCTGTACCTTGCTACCTGGTCCTGGGTGGGAGCTAGGGGACAAATCTCATCTCTTCCCTCTTCTCTTCTCTTCTTTCCTTCCTTCTTTCCATGTTCATTTCCTCCCCCCTCTCCCTTTCTTTTCTGTGAGATTCCAGAAGTACCAATAACTCCTACTTTACTCCTTAGGAAAAAATAGGTCCAAGTGGATCTGATTTAAGATATAATTAAGATATCAATAAAGTACTGGAAGACACAGAGAAATTTTGGAGGTTGACAAACACTTGTGTCAACTACCCAACAGAAAATGGACAAAGAAAGCAGGAACAAATGGCTCATGCCTGTAATCCTAGCTACTCAGTAGGCTGAGCTTTTAGGACTATGGTTTGAAACCAGCCCAGACAGGAAAACCCATCAGACCCTTATCTCCAATTAGTCACCAACAAGCTGGAAGTGGAGCTGTGGTTCAAGTGGTAGAGTGCCAGCTTTGAATGAAAAACAGCAACAACAACAACTAAGGGACAGTGCTCAGGTCCTAAGTTCAAGCCCAGTATTGGCATAGAAAAAAAAGTAGACAAAGACAAGGAGACAGTTGGTAGAAAAGAGATTCAAGTGGCTTGACTTGTATAGGGAAAAAGAAAGAAAATTACAATGAAATGTCAGTTCTTCCTTGCTGGTTTGGTAAATTTCAACAGGTTGGTCACTTGCAGTGTGGATGAGAAGGGAAGCATTCTGAGAGGGTAACTTATGCAATTTATTTGGCCTTCTTATTTTTCCTTTCCTCTACTGAAAATTCCTGTCTAACTTAGTCCTCCTCCAGTATCAAGACCAGCAGTGAGGGGATAGAAGGCAGGTAAGTTCTGGGCATTTAACTTGCTACCCATTAGATACAAGTTTTCAAAAGCATTGTCATGCACCAGGCTAGACCATAAGGCTAGGATGTCCACACACAAGCAGCCTTTTATGATTGAACTGAACTGAAATTCATGGGCGCTGGCAACACAGATGACAAACAAAGAAAAGGATGCATTGTTACCTAAGAAAAACCTGAATAACAACCTTCTAGCTTCACTTGCTCTCATTTAACTTAAGAACCACTCATTTTAAACCAGGTACCAGTGGCTCACTCCTGTAATCCTACCTACACAGGAGGCTAAGAGCTGAGAAACCCAGCTTGAAGCTAGCTAGGGCAAAAATGTCTGAGAGAATCCATCCCCAGTTAAACTAGCAAAATACCAGACTGGAGGCATGGCTTAAATGGTAGAGCACAAGGTGTGGGCAATCAAGCTGAGCCAGCACTAGAGACTCAGTTTAAGCCATGGGACCACAAACACACAGAGAAAAAAAAATCACTTATGTTGGAGGTCACATAGCTGATCATACATTATTTTCTTACACAAGCTTATAAGAAATAATACCTCTAAGATGAGGGCTATGATAATAGTCACTTAGATTCCTTTGTAAAAACTTGAAGCTTTTTTTTTTGCTAGGAGCACCGGGTCTTCATTCTAGCCTGTAGATATCTGATGGATGATTAAACCAGGATAGAAATGCTTGGCATCTCTGACTTCATTCTGTGTCTGTCCCTTCTGCTGTCTGAACCACTGGGGTTCAATTCTATTCAGCTCTGCAGGTAGACATGTTCATCATTTTTAAAATGTTTGTCCAAGACTATAACACAGGGTGAATTTGGCCTGTTTGTCTGAGCTGGCATGTGTTTCTTCTATGTCATCATGTTCTTTCTCAGAAACCCAGCACCTACAGTCCCATTCCTGCAACACAGTGAGTAGTAACCCCACGGTTCCTGAATAAAGATGATTGCCCTTTCCTCCACCAAGTGCAAGGCCAGGAGGCCAACAGGCAATAAAAAATATCTTTTGAAATCTTGCCCATGCTAGTGAAGAGTAACCACATCAGCCCACCAACAGATCTAAAGAAGTCTTCCATTTCCTTTGTGTAGTGAGTAGCCAGACTGCCTTTCATCAATCTGTTTACAAGCTGGAGTCCAAAGAAAGGAATCTTATGGCTCCAAATTAGCCCCATCTCTTATTTCATACAATCTCACTGTTACCATGAGGACCTTAACATAGTTTTTGATGCTATCAAGGATTGTTCGAGTTCACCTTAAGTCTGACCTGACTGTACTTCCCTCTTCTTTCCTTAAGAAGTAACAGGGTATGTGCAGTCAGCCGGTCACTCACCTCGCTCCTAGGAAGGTCTCTGAGAGACGGTGCTGGGCTCAGGCGGGCTTGACGCTGGCCTCTGCTTCTATCCTCTTCCCTTGGGTCCTCCTGGTTTAGTGTCTGCAGAGAAAGCAGGAGGCTTGCTCGGGACTTGGGAGTCCTGGGCCTTTCTGAGGCCTGGGAACAGTTGTGGACTTCGCTATAGCTTCCAAGAGAAACCATGGAGACGGCGCTGGTTCTGCCCTGGTAGCCAAAGTCTGTCTGCTGTGAGCAGAGCCTGGGGCTCCTCGGCTTGGGGCTCAGGGGCCTGCAGGGCATGACTTGGTTTTCATAGGCCAAACAACAGGCCGAGCCACAGGGGAGGGTGCAGCTGATGCCAGGCTGCTGGGCCCCAGGGCTGGGCATCAGCCAGCACTGTTCAGGGAAGGTCCTGGAAGGGAGGTACCTGCCGCCCCCCTGGCGGGACGTGCATTTGATGGCTGGCTCACTTTTCCTCCTGTGTTCTGGAAAGACCAACTTGCTGGGTGCCAAAGACGCACGGGAGCGTGGGGGCGTCCAGCGGTCTGTGCAGTCGCAGCTCTCGGGGTCCTGGGCCCACTCCTCGGAGCCGCTGCTGGCCACTGGGGAGGGAGACCCGAGCGCACGAGAGACCTCGGGTCCTGGGAAGGGAGGCGTGGTCGCAGAGAGGCCTTGGGGGCCCTCGGAGTCCCTGCTTTTCAGGAGTGCGCGCCAGGGGCTCAGATGCTGCCCGCTCTTCTCCATCTCGCCTTTGGGCGAACCGGGAGAAAGTTCTTCCAGCTTTTCTTTTTCTAGAACTTTTGGCTCAAAAAAATTGGAAAAAGTCTTCTGAGCTAAGGCCAACCTGGCCCGGAACCTGTTTTCTGTTGTTTTGAGTCTTTTTGCATTGCAATTTTCAGAGGACAGTCGTTTGCTCCCAGGGTCCCCTGCCATCCCCCCATGCTCTGGGTCCAGCAGCCCGGGGGCCCCGCCAGGGGTGGCCGCGGGGCTCGGTGCTGGGGAGCTTGGGCCCTCGGTGGTCCAGTCCTGCGGCGGACCTGCTCCTGGGCTCGAGGCCAGAGGCCTGCCCTTCCTGAGGGAAGTCACCTTGAGGAACGTGAGGCGCTTTCTCGGCTCCAGCCCTGTCTTGGGGCGCCGGCGGAGTGGGGCGGGCAGCGGGTGCGTGTTCGTGCCAGCCAGGGCCAGGGCGCAGGGGTCCCGCACCGCCCCTGCAGAGACGCAGCCCTCAGGGCGCCCTTTGGTCCCTGCTCCCCGGTCCTCCACGGCCTCTGGGGTCTTCAGGCCCTGCTCCCATCCTGTGCTCTCTGGGCTGGGCGGCCCCAGGCTCTCTAAGGTGAGGAAAGCTTCGGGCTGCGTCCTCGTGCCTTCATCCTCTGTGCTTAGCATCTCCTCCAACTCCACTCCGGGGACCTGAGCCCCGCCAGCCTCCCTCAGACCACACCTGGCGCCACAGGGAAGCGCACAGGATGTTGCACCCTCCGCCAGGTGGGTGAGCTGTGGCTCTGGAGGAGGGCAGCCTGTCCCAGGGGCCTGCAGACCCTCCTGCTCCACGAGGAGCACGCAGCTGCTCCTAGAGGCCGAGCTTGCCCTGGGCGTCGGCTGCAGGCTCGGGGAGGAAGGCTGGGAGACATCTCCTGGACCCTGGTCCTCCGCCTCAGGCCCAGGGCCAAGGTGAGCCACGGCGGCTGCTGGGCGTCTGGAAAGCCCCTGCCAGGCACGTTCGCTACACGTGAGGTCTAGAACCATCCCCGCCTCTGCTTCCTTCTCTCTTGATTTCAGGGTGGTCTCTGGGGCGTCTGAGGTCTCACTCCCTACCCAACCACCCACCATGCCTCTGTCCCACACCTGGGCTCCACTAGGGATGCAGAGATGCGGGGAGTTGGCGCTAGGAAGTCGTTTTCTATCCTCCCTGAGAACACACCTGGATGTGGGATGGCTGGTTTGGTTTTCTGCTTGGACAAAAATGTCTTGCAGGTGATTTTCTTTATCACCCGCATCAGCAGGGCCTGGTGCCAGGCCAGAGCCTTGAGGTTCCTCAGGTCTGCTTTCTGAGCTGTGTCCCAGCTTGTGCTCAGCAGGCCCCGGCACTTCCTCCCAGCCTCCTTGCTGCACCAATTCTGAAATAAGGCCTGAAGTGGCTGGGCATGACGTATAGCCCTGCTCCAACTGGTTTTCCTGTGGGAGAGCCACAGAAGGTGTGTCCTGAAAGTCCTTTTCCAAGCTGCATTCACTGGGCTGGTACTGACCTTGCAAATTGGGAACCCCTCTGTGAGAATCCAGAAGTGCACAAGGCTGATGGGTAGGCGCCCGGAAAAGGGTGGTTTGTGTTCTTGGGCTCTTTCCTGTTGCTGTCTTTTCTTTCCGTTGGACCCCAGGCTTCCTTAAGTTCAGCCCTACCTGATCTTCAGGGTAAACAAAAGGAAACTCTGTAATGGAATGGGCTCTGGCCAGTGCCCTAATCTTCCCACAGTGAGGCCTTGGGGGTGCCCTGCCACTGTCAACAGTATTTTCTGGGGTGCAGTGGTGACACTTGACTTGTGAGAGGCATGGTGTGCCTGACAGAGGGCAACAGTGTTCATCTAAGCAGGGCTGGGTCCAGCACAGGTCTGTGTCCCCTGTAGGGGGCAGAGTACCTCCCTTCTCTGTTGGTGCCTGCAGAGGGGCTGTGGTATCCAGTGGGCCTGTGTGAGGTGGAGCTGCTACCCCTGTCCTGTTGCGGATATGTGGCCAGCTCCAGCCTGGTTCAGGGCACTGGAGAAGGCAAGGCCAGACCCCAGGGATGCCCAGACAGCTCTCAGACCTGGATTTCTGGAGAGTCACAGCACGAAGTTCTCTGAAGTCCTGATCTGTCACCCTCTGAGCCCACTGGGGACTGCGGGTGCCTGTGACATCCTGAGAGGTGCACGCTGATAGCAGAGGCAGCTTATCCAGGCTGGTCACACAGTCCCAGAGGGACTCTTCCCCTCCGCTAGTGATGTCAGCCAAGGAGAGCGACTCATTTTTGCCCAATTTTTCCTTTAAGTCAGAGGACAAGTCTAGTTCTTTCGCATCAAGCCCAAGGACACTGGTCAAAGGCTGATCCTGAGGTGGTCTAGTTGTTGGGGCATCCGGACACTTCCAGCTTGCTTCTGTGTCTATGGAAGGACCAGTTGGAGAGAGGCAGGCACTGCCGGTGAGGGACTCTGTGTCAGAGGCACTCTCAAAGGGGTCAGTTTTTGTGTCTGATCGAGTTTCACTCTGATGGGACAATGTCTCAAAATCATCACCATCTGTTTCCTGGCTCCAGTTCTGCTCTTCTGCTTCTGTAGGGAGTCGGGGGAGCTGGTTATCTTCAGTCTCACCTTCACCTGACAGGTGTGCACGTGCCTCTGGGGTCTGGAAGGGCAGGAAGAGAAGAGTCAGAAACAAGACCCAAGGACATCTACAAACGAGTTTATGCCATGCCTGCCTCATTGGAATCGCTGAGCAGCACTTCATCAGTTCCCTGTATGGCCCCAGGAGGGGAAGTTAAGTACGAGGAGCTTCCTTTATTAACAGAAAATAAGTGACAAGACCAAATGAAAATAGTGGAAGAAAATGTAGCTACCACACAGTTAAAAAAAAAACACCATTAGAAGTAGCGCTGTGGCTCAAGCAGTAGAGTGCTTGCCCTCAGCTGAAGAGCTGAGGGACACTGCCCAAGCCCAGAGTTCAAGCCCCACTATGGACAAAAAAAAAACAACAACATTAAAAGTCAGAATAAGCTGGGTGCTGGTGGCTCAGGCCTGTAATCCTAGCTGCTCAGGAGGCTGAGACCTAAAGATCATGGTTCAAAGCCAGCCTGGGCAGATAAATTCAAGACTCTTATCTCAAATTAACCATCAAAAATCTGGAAGTGAAGGTGTAGCTCATGTGGTAGAATACCAGTCTTCAGTGACAAAACTAAGGGGAAGATGAGGCCCTGCGTTCAAGTCCCAGTACCAGCACGTGCACACACACACATATTCATGAGAAAATCAATAGAATTTCAAAAACACAAAAGAAAATAGGCCATACAAGTATGTGCGATTTAAGTACTATAAATATACTGCCGAGTCATGAGGAAGTATGTGTCCGCTTCATGTTTCCAGCAAGAGGGAACAGATTCATATATGTTGTGATCTGTGTTCTGTGTGTTCTTAGGCAAACAGCTGGTTAATAGGGAATGATCTTTCACTTAAAACTATTTTCTGAGTTTGAGTCCCTGAAGAGAAAACAAAACCAGAAAGCAAAAAAGAAGCCTTGAAATTGCAAACACATTTTGGGCGGTTATAAATGCCAAAGATAGTTTCGAGAGTGCAGAACTTTGCAGAATTTTCTTCCTTGGGTGTACATTTCTTGATCAGCTGAATGAGCTATGAAGTGTATAGATGAGAGTTTTACAAATGTACACACCTGTGTACCTACCACCAGGAGAGACATCTGTTTTCATTCCCTCCAAAGTCCCCATCCTTCCCCTGGCCAGTGACCTGCTTTTGTCACCATCTGGATTTGCACACACACACAGATCCTGTAGTGTGTTCTTTGGGGCCTGGTTTCTTCCCTTGGGCATGGTAGCTGTAGCACATCTCAGCACACACAGTGACCTCATCTGTGAGGCAACACTGCATGTGAGATTCAATTATCAAATCCCAATTCCCCCAGGCCAGGAGTGAGGCAAGCACTCACCCACTTCTAGCCAGGACTCCTCATAAATCTTGTACCTTCCCAAGTATCATTTTCCTCAGACTATGGCAAGATTTATCAAAGGAAAACTGTTCTCTTGTGTATGCCTGTGCTGGGGGTGGGGTGGGAGGGTGGGGTGGTTGGGTGGGGGTGGGGAGAGAGTTGAATTCAGGGCCTGAATGCTGTCCTTTATCTTTTTTTTGCCCAAGGCTAGCACTCTAATAGTTGAGTCACAGCTCCACTTCAGGCTCTTTTGCTGATTAATTGGAGGTATGAGTCTCTGTGTACTTGCCTATGCTGGCTGGGTTCAAAACTTAACCTTCAGATCTCAGCCTCCTGAATAGCTAGGATTATAGATATCTAGCTTGAACTACTTTTAAGCTTCCTTAACTAAGAGAAGAAAAAAACACCAAAGTACGTGATATGTGTTAGTCCTAAATAAAGAGGCAGGGTGGAATCAGTAATATCAGAATAATGGAAGCTTCACATGATTGCAAAGAAGGAAAGATTTGAGAATAGCAAAGGAAACACTAAAAATTAGACCACTTGAGAAGGAGAGGTGTAGGTTGTTCTGTGGTGTTTTAGGAGGTGAAAGAAGGTGCAGAGGCAGGCAGTGCCAGGAGTCCATCGCAGGGAGTGTCGGCACCTGGCAGCTCAGCAGGACTAGCAGCCTGCTGCCTACATACCTTCTGGGTCATGTAGGAGTGTGGACATGTGAAATGTGATGTGAACACGCCCTGACACGTACACAAAACGGTGGCAACAGCCATGAGAGCACTGGAAAAGCTACAGAGTGCTCCTGCTGAATGGCTAGTGGCTTCCATGGTTCCACCCTGTACCTCCACATCCTGGAAATTCAGCAGAGCTGACCTAAGAGGGGATGTCGGAGCAATCCTTTCAACACTGCAATGGGTGGGCATCTCCTGGTTCATTCCCAATTCACGTTGGCATTGTTAAGCTCTAGTCCTGGACACTTCCGAAGTCTGAAATTCCAAGTGACTAACGGCCAGGTCTCTGGTGATCACAATGTCAGATGGTTGTTTCTCACCTAGCCCCCTTTCAGCACTGTACCTCACAACACCATGGGTGAGGGAGGGTGCGGCTGTGGAGATGGCTCTGGGGCTACTGCTGTGTGGCTCAGGAGGATCTAACCTTAGCTTACATTCCAGGCATTTAGCAAGAGGCTTGGCTCATACTCAATGAAAATAAAAGCCTCCAGGGAAAAAAAAGCTAAAATAACTTTCCAGATTAAACAGCTGGTATGGTCTAGCCAAGAACATTGGAACACTACATGTAGGATTCATTGATGTGTGCAGATACTGAAATACAAAGGGGTGCTTTAAAAAGAACTTGGTTGAATATTAGAGTTTAGTACTATGAACAGTGAATATTGTAACTCTTTATCTGAGGGGTCTACTAGCCTTGGACTGAATTTGTGGTGTGTGTGTGTGTGTGTGTGTGTGTGTGTGTGTGTGTGTGTGTGTGTGTACAAGTACTGGAGCTTGAACTCAGGACCAAGGTGCTGTCCCTTAGCTTTTCTGCACAAGGCTGGCACTCTACTCCTTGAGCCACACTTCTACTTTCAGACTTTTGGTGGTTAGTTGGACATTAGAGTATCACAAACTTTCCTTCTTGGGGTGGCTTCAAACAGACCCTTCTGAGTAGCTAGGATTACAGGTATGAGCCACTGGTATCCACTCGGATTTTTAAAATATTTACATCTGTATTGAACATGTACAACCCTTTTGGTTCTTCCCTAAACAATGTGGGAGGGCTATTGTGTCTATAGGATTTTCTGGAATGATGTTACATCACTTGAGGATATGTGCAAATTCTGTAGGAATACGCAAGTGACTTGAGCTTCCAGGGACTTGAGGTCTGCGGAATCCCAGAACCCATCCCCTGTACAGACTAAGTAAAGTACCACAGTCCTTTCATCCTGATTCAACTCAGGACTCAGAATTGTCAGCACAAACCCTGTAACTCCTGGTTTATCTTCAGGGCTGGCCTAGGGCTCATATCTACAGGCAAGAATATTCTTTTTGTTGAGGTTCTGAGTTTTTACAGAGGTGAAAAGAGGATCCCATTAAATGCTCATGAGTAGGCAAATTCTCTTTATTTCATCTCAGTCAGTATACTTCCTAAATTGTCTTATTTGGTCAGTATCTGAGGCTTCAAATAAGAGGACAGGTGTTTGGAATTTCTCCTGAAAGAAACACAGGACTAGAGTTTCCACAGGGAGGGGTAAACTGATGGCAAACCTGGCTTGGCAGAGTTGAGAATGGGGCTGACAACTAAGTGCCAACTCCTGCTCCTGGCCTGTGCTGCTCCTTCCCCAGCTCTGGCTGGCAACCCCCCCCCCCCCCCCCACACACACACAGACACTGAACTCCACCTTACATTCACAGTTAGTCTCCATGATCCTTCTTTTTAAAAAGCATTCGTTTTTGAGAACACATTGTCTTTCCAAACACTTTAGTTACATGACAGTTTTAATATGTGATGTTTTTATAATCTTGGTATTTCTAATTTTTTCCTAATTCTCATTGTGATTTTCCTCTTTGGCCTATGCATGTCCGATATCTATTAAATTACATCATGGGAGTGTGATCTATGGGATAGAAAGTTTCTGAAATTAGTTGAAAGTGTCTCTACAACATAGTACATTTAAAAAATAGCTCATATATGTCTGAACTGTGTCTTTTAATCAGTGATTATTAGATTAATTTGTTACTAAGAACGTTGAGGTCATCCACTATACTATAGCATAGAGTTTGTCGATTTCTTCCTTTTAGTCTGTCATCACTGATATGCGTATTTCAGTGTCACATTCATGTGTAAACAAGCTCATGATGGCTGTATCTTCCTGGGAAGTAGCACCTTCAGTTCTGTGGGGGTAATTAAGTGAACTTCATTATCCATAAAAAGGCTTTTACTTCAAGGGCTAGCATCTCTGACACTGATAAACACACATCCATTTTTTTGTTGGTTAGAATTTGCCTACCATATATTTCTCTGTTATTATCAATCTATTTTCTTTAGGTATATTTTTCATAATCAACATAGAACTGGGTTTTCAAGAGTCATTTTTTCAATCACCTTTAGATGTAGAACTCAGCTCATGGACATTTCTTATGATCACTGACATAGCTGGTTTTCATTTACTTCTGTACTTCATTCTTTCTGAACTACTTTTTATGTCTTGGGAATTTTGTAAGAGAGAGATTTAAACTACTGTTTAAAAGGCTATGTTTATAGGAATGTTGTTCTTTACCTCTGTTTTTTTTCCAGGTGTTTTGTTGCAGGGATATTTTAGAACCACACTGGTCCCCATGGATTAGATCTGTAGAGTCAATAACCTTCAGATCATCAAGCCTTACATTACCTCCTTCTTTCACCTCTTTCTCTCTTCCTGAATGACTTACAAGTCCACATATATGGCATAAAACAAACTATATGGATTGTAAGTGTACAGTTGAAGGATATATATACACATCCATGAAGCTATGACTGCAATCATATAATGAAAAATGAATATTTCTCTTATTTCTGTAAAAGTTAGTTCATATTCTTTTTTTGTCCCCTTTGCTCTTTTGTGAATGTACCTCCATTTCAGGTAATTTAACCTGTTCTTTGCCATCACAGATTAATTCCTATCTTGAAAATTTTTAGCAAATGGAGTCTTTTGTCTTTACAAATAGTTTCTTCCAAATTGGCTTGTTGGATAATTTTTATCCATGTGTTTTTGAAGAGCAAAAGGTTTTTATTTAATAAAGCCCAAATCATTGATTTTTTTATAGGCCAGTTTTTGGTGTTCTCAGATTTAAAAAGCTACTAAGATTTTCCTACCATTTGTTCTAAACTACGATATGCAAAACAATGCCTCTCCTTCCAGAAGATACCTGTGTTCTACTTTCTGGAACATGTGAATTTCACCTTTCAGGGCAAAGGGAGTTTAGCAGATGTGAGTAGGTTAAGGACCACAAGGACACTATCCAGGATTATCTGTGGGTCTTCATAAGGGAAAAGCAGACCAGAGAATCAGAGTAGGATCTTGGCAATTAGCCCAGAACATGGGTGTTTGGAGAAAAAGCATGCACCACAAAATTCTGGAAATTTCCAGAAGCTGTAAAAAGCAAGTAAACACTTTCCCCTAGAGCCTCCAGTAGATGACAGTTCTGCAGTTGCCTTGATTTTAGAACAGTGAGATCCATGCTGAGCTTTCTGACCTCTACAACTATAAGATAATAAACAGGGTTTTTTTTTATAAACCATCAAGGTAATAGAAACTTGGTATACATAACAGTAGCAGCCATAGAAAATTGAGACATAGACTAATCACTCTTTATGTCTATTTTTCCTTTGAGATAGGTTGCTTTGTAGCATGTTCTGGCCTTGAACTCAAAATCCTCTGCCTGGGCTTCTAGAATGCTGGGATTAGAAGCTTGTATCACCACACACAGCCTGTCTGTGGCTTCTGACAATTAACTGTAGTATTCCTCTCCTTAAACTCTACCCTTTGATTTCAGCATACTTTGTTTCTCTTGATTCTGTTATTTCTTTGACTGCAGTTTCTAGGTGTCTAGACCTGATCCTTCTGAAACACTGGTTCCACAGCCTGATATATGGTTTGGGTGTGGCTTGTCCCTGAAAGGCTCAAGTGCTGGGCACTTGGTCTCCAGTGTGGTGATGCAGAGGTGGTATAATATGTGGCACTGCTCCGTTAAGAGGTGGAGCCCAGGAGAAGGTGCTTAGGTCACGGGTTAGCTCTGCCTCTCCAGACAGGATTAGGTCTCACAAGTATGTCTTGTGGTAAAGCAAGTTCAGTCTTTGTGGCTTGCTTTCTCTTGCTTCCTCTCTTGCCAGGTGGCTCTTTCACGGGCACTCCCTCCACATGATGACATCCCACATTCTGTGACACAGACAAAAGATCCTTCTCAAGGGCCCCCTGACTGTGCACTGTCAGCATCTACAGTATATGCTCAATAAGCCTCTAAACTACCAGGCCGGGGGATTCTGTTATAGAGACAAGACAGCCCCTTCTTTTCTCAGCCTGCTCACCTTTCTACCCTCTCTAGGGCCTCAGCTTTAGATGGTAATGCCCACCATCTAAATGTCAGCTGTCTCCACTGCTCCACATGAATATTCAAAATAATGAGTCTTGCTCTTTTCTACAGCCCTTCTTGATCCTTGTCCTGCCATTACCTTTGGTGGAGGCTAATATCTAGATGCCTAAGATAGAAATACAGCAATCCTCTTCTATCTTTCCTTTTCCATGCCTAATAGGTATCTATGGATTCTCACCTAAGTCCAAGTTACACCAGGACTAGGATTTTTAGCTGTTTTTGTAGTATTTCTTCAGTACTTCTGGACAGACAGTAAATACTCCTGGCTAGCCGCATGTTCATCAATTCTAACTCCGGCAGCATTGTTTTCAGCTCTCCCAGTCTAGTCTCAGCACTCTGCCTTTGCTATCTCTAGCCTGTGTCCTGACTTGCCTCCACTAAGCCTTGCCTACTCTGGTGCCTGTAAGTTCCTAAAACAAAATGCTGATGGAAAAATCACCCCATTGAAGGTATCCAGAGCTCACAGACTAAAAGGCTCAATATACTGACTATGCCATTTCTTCCCCAATTGATTTATTAATCTAATGCAATTTTTATAAAAATGCTAGCAACATATTCTCTAGACATAGAAAACGTATTGTAAGATTTATGCAGAATGGAAGTAGAATTGCTGTTAAAAGATCCTAATAGTGAGTAAAGCAGGAATCATTGTCTGTATTAAGGCTTACTATATTGATCAGCTGGGGCTTTTCTGGTGTGATGGACACTTAGGTAATAGAATAGAAAAGATATACCAAAAATAGA